GTAAACCAAAGCAGAGGAGTAAACAGCACAGTAACAAATTATTCCCTCTCTTTGATTTATGGCACGTATTCTAAAAGATGCAGTTCCTTGCAGAAATTAAGTGCCAGTGTTCTCTTCATTATTTCTATTTTGTTATCCAATAATGTCATTTTGAAGTAATCTTTTGATCAGTCAGACTAGCGCATACATAAAGTATGCACATTATATTTCTACCAGTAAACTTTCTGGGAGCTGTAATTTTTTGATGTATATATATAGCACAACATTCTCCAGGAAGTGTAATCTTTGATTAGCGGAAAAAAGAATATGAATGATTAGATGCTTTTCTTATTCGTCAAGGTTTAGGAAATAGGGCCATGTTCTTGATTTCCTGAGATTAAATTCACCAATTTTGATTTTGGGGGAGAGAAGGATGGAAAATGGGCTTTGACCAGTTCATTGAATCACAGACTTCCCATTCTGAACCCTGCTATAAGTTAAAACAGTGGCTTCTAGGTTTGGTTTTGTTAATTATTGGACAAGCAAACTCCTAAGTGTTTTAAATGAAAATGCAGGATTTTTGGTTTTTTTAAGCAAATAGAAGCCTGCTGATAATGGACTTTCTTTCTCACCCATCATAGAAACCAGGTTTTTCTGGGTCAAACTTCAAAAACCACTCAGTTAGTAGCTCTAGGGACCCCTTGTGACCAGCCAAGTGTGGGCTCAGCTGTGTGGCCACAAGGAATTGTGTTTCAGCACATTCTCTTGTCCCTATTGAAATCTCTGAACCAGAACCTCTGAGGAATGGACAGAAGGGAACGTTGAGAAGTTAGTATTACTTGATCTGCCTCAAGTGGCAACTCCTCTACTTGATATTTATGAGAATTTTTATTCTTTGGGCAACTAAATCCACTTTCATTCCCACTGCAAGGCTAGAAAGAGCACTATGGGAGGAGCTAGGGGACTTCCTTACTGCTATAGATCAGGCCACACTTTATTCCAGTGTGCGCCTGCAGCTTGTGTGGACACATATATAAAGTAATTCTATATTATCTGTCTTTGCACTGCTGGCAGTGTGGCTTTGGAACTGTGTCATGGGCTGCAAAACCCTTCTGAGAACTGAGGCACTATTTGGGCGATCAGCCCAGGCTGAACTCCTTTATACTGAAACAACCGTGAGGTCGAAGACCAGCCTAGTGCAGTAGCCCCTCTCTGACAGTGTCCAGGAGGGAAACGTACAGGAACAAAAAAAAAGCACAGGAAGTTACTTTTCCACATTACTCAACCACCCTTCAGCAATTTGTAGCTTACAGGTTTAAGCCAAAGGTGGTCTTAGTGAATTCCTCCCCCTCCTTCTGCCTCCACCCCATTAATTTTTCTAATCTCTTACTCAACTCATGTCAAGTTCTGGCATCCTCCACATCCTGCATCAAGGAGTTGTACAGTTTCCCTATGTGCTGTAAGGAAAATTGCTTCCACTTACTGATTTTGCATTAACTTCTCTATAATTTAATTTGATGCCCCATGTTCTTGCATGAGAAACATAGGAAAGTGAAGAATCATTCCTTAGTTACATTCCTTAGGCCAGTCATGATTCTGAGCTCTGTAAAAACACCTTTCTGCCACCTTAACATCTTCTTCCAATGCTGAAAAGTTTTCCCCTATTTAGTAATTCCTGACATGGAAATTGTCCCATTCCTTGTTGCCCTTTTGTGTTCCTTTTGTTTCCTTATTAGATGAGCTGCTCAGCTAGCTTGAGGAGCTGTGTAATTAAAGGTATGGAGTTCTTGGATGCATTTTGAAGTCCTTGCTAAGCTCATGCTTCTGCATCTGATGGTGTTGTTAATACTCAAGTTAATTAGTTTACAGTCAGTCTGGGAATTTATATTTTTGTTTCAGTCTCATAGTGGCATTTCAGGAGGTAAAGCACTCAATAAGTAATACTCCCAGAACTGCTAATGAGATGAAAATCAAGCATGAACTACTAGTTTGACGGAGGGAAAAGAGAATGGATACAGAGGAAAAATATATTTTTTGTCAGAATATGTGTTTTTGTGTGTGTGTGTATACACAAATAAAATGCAGGTGTTGTTAATGTAATCTGGTAGAAATTAGCAGTGGAAAATATCTTTGTTGAATAGCTTTGAAGAGATGGTGATTCTTTTGTAGCAGATGGCTGCTGAACAGGTGTGCTGGCTCAACTTATGCCGTTTTAATGATAATGTTTTCCTCCTTAGGACTTGAACTATCAGGTGCTGAAGGTTTGATCCTAACAGTGCTAATCAAAGCAGATTGTGCTTTTCACTGTAATTCCACTTTGGGTTTCTGAATTAATTATATTGTCTGAATCGGAGAGGAAAACAGTGAAAAAAATGGTCAACTCAATTTCCACTGCCTCAGTTTGCTGCTGAAAGCAGCTTGCTGATTATAGCAAGGGGAAATGTTTATTGCTTATCAGCTTACTCTATATAGGGAGCTCTTGTACAAAAATGAATTATAAAATCAAGGTATAGAAGCATCCTAATTTGACTAGCCAAAAGAAAAGAATCTTGTGAAGAGTTTATTTGTACCATACTGGTGTTTGTGCCATTCACTATATAGAATTAAACCAAAGTTGCATAGACTTCTCTGTCTTTGTTAATCAGAATTTTAATTCATTGTCTTTGGAAACTTCATTGCATACAATTTCATTTTATGAGACTGCTGAACATTGCTAGAAGCCAGCATGTAATTCAATGGTGGCCGTGTAGAGATGCCAGAAAGCTGATCAGAATCAATGATCTCTTGTAAAACGTTGCCTCAGGTTGGCTGTCAAATAAATTGAGCACCCTTGTTAACTATATCCATCTTTGTAACATCTTTTTTTATTGTCACATGTATTTTTTTCAGAGGTGATGCTATGCATTTAAAACATTTAATTAGAGATCTATTATATATACATATACATATATAGATCTATTATATGTTAGTAAATCATTGCAAAGGAAATCAGACAGCTACTACTGCTTTGGATTCCACCTTATTCTGGATCTCTTTGGTGTATCAGCACAGTTCATCTGTCAGGTCTTATTGCTCAGTGAATATTTGGTACCCTGCAGCTTGGACCCAATATTATTCATATTACGTCCTTCAGGAACCGACAAACAGGACACTGCATCAGGAAGGCTTCTTCTTACTCCATTTCAAGCAGTTCAGTGGTCGCATTTGACTGAAAAAAAATTATACCTAAAAACACCAACCAAAGACCAAAAAACCCTATAATAATTTATATGTAATGTGACTCTTCCTACAGTGCAACTTCTTGCGCAGGAGCGGTTGCTGTCATATTTAAAATGTCCCAACTATGGTTTCATTCTATGCAAAGAAATAGAATTCTTTTCTGAGACGATCCTTGGAAATTGTATTTTGAATTCATGTAAAATTCTTAATGGAATTAAATCTGCAGTATAGAATTGTTCATTGTGGAAATTTGCACTGCTCTGTGAACAGTGAAGACTTTATAGCTTTATATCAACAGAGGTTCTGGTCCAACACAAAATAGAAATTAAAGCCCTTACATTGCTATATGCGTATCATAGACAAGGACCATGCAGTGCTTCATGTGAAGTATTTTGCTGGGAGTTGGTCAGACAGTGGTTGAACTGGACATATGTCTCAGAGTAGTCCTTTCTATTTTTTATTGCACTTCGATTGACATTCGGTAGACATTTTTTTCTGTATTGGAAAAGGGCATCATCATAGAGTGTGCTGTGATAAATACTTCTCCTTTGATCACATGCAAATGTGCTTCACATCTGTCAGATGCCATTAGCCCAGCTGCTGTCCTGAATCACAACTTGTGCACAGAAAAGACTTGGGAGAGGAGGGTAATGGCACGAGGGCGTCACACAGGGAATAGTCACTAGAAACTGAAGCACTGTAGTAAACGATTTGGCCATGAGTAGTTGTGGAGCTGGAGAATGAAGTCATGCTGGAGTGACGGATGTGCGAGTGGTGGTCAGAGTGAAGATGGAAGAAGTGGCAGGTTTCTGGAGGGAGGTGGGCAATGCAGTCTGACCTTCCTGTCCCACTCCCAGCCCAGCCTTTCCATCGCTCACTGGCAACAGGGAACAGCAGCAGCAGAGGAAATCTCTTCTGACTTGACTACCGCAGCCCTTTATTCCTACCAAGAAGGTGAACCCAAAGGGAGGGCACACAGCTGCAAAGGAGGGCTGGCAGGGGAGGGACACAGCAGCAGCCACCCCATGTTGTCCCATGTCTCTGCTGAGCTCTGCCCTTGCACCTCACTCTGGGAACTGGTGCCGCATGCTTAAGCCATGTCGTAAAAATGCAGTTGTCATTTCAGTGTTTATGGGTTTATTGCAACTTCCCCAACTAAATATTAGCAGTGAGAAAATCCAATAAAAAATAATGTGTTGGTTAGATTGCCTGTACTTAACTTTTATCACATGTATGTTGAGAAAGAGAAGTTCATTTCCTAAATTATCCTGAGAGAGATAGTGTGGCCATAGAGCTAAAGAAAATTCATTAACTTTACTGTTTCTCTAAATACCCCTATAGATGCTTTTATGTATCTGTAAAACACAATTGTACTCACATTACTGAAATAAAAGCTGTGCAGCTTTGTTAAAAGATTTGGAAAATAGTGTTAGTTACCCATTTTTCTCATTAGAAAAGTTAAAGCATTTCTTTTCTTCTGTATTTGTGGTTTTTTTTTGCAAACCATTCAAAACAATATAGCAATTAAATCATACTTTAGTTAGCGTAAGTTCAGGTACTTTGGATAGTGAAATATCTGTAGTAATTAACAGGCATAACACTTGTTTGTTATCATTAATTTAGCAACTTCCTCATTTAAATTCTATTGTTCAATAGTATAATACTAAAATCACAGTGATAATACAGTAGGCATACACGATGTTATTTGACATAATCAGTATAAGAAAATCAATTGAAACAAATATTCTTCCTGTCTTCATAAAGTAGACAAATGGTTTGATGTTTCTGTGTATCATTCTCAGGTTTGGAGACGGCTATTCTGTCAAGGTTTGGCTTAGTAAAGAAGTAAGCTATCAAAGAATGATTTTGGACCGTCTACAACTGCATTTTCCTGGAACGCAATTTAAGGTAGAGCTAAAGCTCATCATCATCATCATAGTGTTTTTTCTATGGGAATATTAAGTATGGGCTGGTAAGAACTATATATCCACATTTGGATATGTTGATCTTTTTGGAAAAAGTGTAATGAGCATCCTTTTTATCTTTCTGTTAAGCAATTCTTAAAAATCTGACTTGTGATATTGATTAAATCAACTCCAAAGTCATTTAGACAACATATGTAAACAGGCTCTTTCTCTTAAATGAAAATTTCCTTTTGCTTTTATTGTTGATGAGTGAGCTCACCTTTGTGTTCACCTGAAGTAGGAGTACAGTGTAGTCACTGAGAGTATTTGCTTCAGTTGCAAGGTCCATGGATGATAAGTCTCAGCCTTTACTGAAATTTTTTATTTGATACAAAGTCTTACAAAAGACCTGTAGTAATTAGATTCCAAGAAAAACTTTCAAAGGCCTTTTATTATTTAGTTTGGGTTTTTTTAACTTGATTTGTGTTTAGGAAAAGAATCGTGTAAAACTATGACTACCTTAGGTATGAAGCCTTTTGTGTATATGTTTATACGTGTGTGTGTTCACTCAGCCTTTTCCCAGACTGCATTGCCTAGTGCACTAGTGGAGTGTAGCACTAGTCTGTTGGATTAAAAACCTGTAGCATAAAATTGTCCTGAATTTATACGTATGTTTTTGGGATTTAAAAAATGTCATCTCAGAACATGTACAAAATGTGTGCTCTGAGTATGAACATTTCTTTGTGCTACCATGTAGACAAAATAAATTCTTATTTTAAAGCTCATATTTTTCATATTAAACTGCAATAAGAGCCGATTAAAACTAGACTGCTTGTAAGCAAGAGTAACCTCATCATAACATGTTTTCACTTTTATCTGTTTCTGTCATTTTTGCTTGTTTTAAGGGACAGCATCTTAACCTGCTCGAGTACCATGTACCACGAAGCCAGGGATGCTTAGCAGAGCTCTTCAGAGTCCTAGAGAATCACAAAGCTTTTCTCCAAATCAAACACTACTCCATTAGCCAAACCACATTAGAGCAGGTATTTTTTTCTTTTTCTTTATTCCTTTAACCTGCTCGAGTACCATGTACCACGAAGCCAGGGATGCTTAGCAGAGCTCTTCAGAGTCCTAGAGAATCACAAAGCTTTTCTCCAAATCAAACACTACTCCATTAGCCAAACCACATTAGAGCAGGTATTTTTTTTTTTTTCTTTATTCCTCCCCACCCTTTTTTTTTTTTTGTCTGAACATGCTGTGTACCAAAATTCTTGATGGAGTAGAATACTGTATTATTCACTGGATTACCCAAATGTATGGAGCCAATCAGCAGTTCCAGGCCATCTTGGGTCTATGAACGCTACTGCTTTTACACTGGAGGTTAGCGCAGTAAAAGCATCACAGTAAACTACATATTTGTGCTGTGTGCAAGCATAATCAGTGACTTAGAAACATCTAGATCTCTGTGGGATGAGAAAGTGGGACTGTGAACTGTCACCTCCACAGTCCTGAAGTTTGGATCTTACCAATGTCCTTGAAAAGGCTGAACCAGTCTCCACAAATCACAGTAAACTCTAGACTTCTGGGACACCTTCCTTTGAGAATTTTCTTTTGCAGTGAGTATCATGCTGCATATTAGAAAACAGTGAAAATGCACAAGCAGACAGAAGGGATTCCGCTTCTAAAAACTGTGAAATCCTATTTGGGCAGAAGGAAGAACATAATGATGGCAAGGTTGGGGCTTCTGTTAGAAAGCATCGTAATATGCAACTTCCTGTTATGTATTCTCCAAACTAAGAGAGTCACATTTAGTCAAAACATTAATTTTCCATGGTAGATGGGTAGATAGTGTGAACTTATTTTTTCCCATGTGCAAATCATTAATGAAATATTCTGATCTGTACTGACCTATTAACTGCTTGTAAATGATCTATTCACTGAATGGCTGAATATAAAGTAATTTCAGCCTGTTGATTGTTCAGGCATTATTCGCTCCAGCTCCCTTCCTCTCCATTATTCATGGTGATTCATAACCTCAGTCACCTACCATTGTTTCCTCTCTCTGACTAACTGAGTGTCAGTTTTCAACAGGAAAATAGTTCTGAATAACAAACACCCTTATAATGCATCGCAAGTTTGTTTCCATGTGAATATGATCATTTGAATCGAGACTAGCCATCTTTCTGCTCCTTGCTGTCAAATAGTTGTAGTATTAAAAAGCAAATAAACCTTTCTGTAGTAGTATCTGTTAGAAAAAATAATCAAGGAGGCACGCTGGTAGTTGAATTATCACTCTATAATGTTCAGAAGTATACTTTCACTTTGAAATATCTGGACGCTTGTCTGTGATGTTTGTTGATAGAAACAGCAGGCTCAACTTCCTTAGGTGTGTCATTTCACAGCAAATTAAAACAATTATTTTCTACTAACTTGTGCAGCAGTAAAATATAATTTTCATACATAATGGTAAAATGAGTTACTAAGTTATTTTTATAATTCATCAGCCAGTGAGTTAGCTGGAGAGGTGAAGAGGAATTAATTCTAGAGTTTACAAAACTTATTTCTAGAGGGGTTCCCTCAATATCAATCTATGAATTTTTGTGTCACAAAAGCTTAGAAAAGCAGCTGAAAAATATAATCATCTATGTCTCCAAAGTTTCAGTTCAAGTGCTGTTATTTTGAAAGCCCTACTTTTTTTCATGTCTTACAGGTATTCATTAATTTTGCTACACAACAGCAAGGAGTCTCGCATTCGTCACAAGAATCTCCTGTTCACCATGACCATCTGCCAGTCTAGGCTCAGAACAGGATACAGCTTCAGCAGTGTATAGGCATGTGTATGTTTGTGTACATATGCATGCATTTTACATGCAATAACTTTTCAGCTGGTAACAATTTCTCTGTTAGAAACAAATAGTAGAAGCAGCAGTGAGTTTGTATTTGTGGGCCGGAAGGAATGCTACTAATTCTTAGTAAAATGAGAAACTGGTTACCTACAGACAAAAATCTGCCAAAAAGTAATGCTTTTTACTAGTTGGAAATTTATAATATAAATGACCTAATAAATTTAGTTCTGCTTAAAAAAAAAAAAAAAAAAAAAGAAAAAAACTGATATGAAAAGTCTCGGTTATGGTAGATTTTTTTTTTTTTTGTGGTAGATCTGCATTCACTTGACTTCAGTAATCTTCTCTTGCATGCACACTTAACATCTACTTTTTACATGACAAGGCAAGAAAAACCCATTGAATGGTAGCAATAGCTAGGCTATCACCCAATGTTTGTATTTAATAGTACAAATTGAGAGCCTTTTGACTTCTTTATTAATTCATTTCTGTGTTGTGACAAGCTAAATTAGCCTTTTTATTGTATAAATGATGCACTATATTCCATAAGGTTTTATGTTAAGCGGTTATTAGTATATTAGTCTGCCTCCCAGTTATCTTAAGTAAATTTAACAAGGTTTCATAAATCATACTTGACAATGAGTTTTCCCTTATGCCTGCAGGTTGCTGCTCGAGGAATTCTCAAGCGGCAATTCTGAGCAATTCTCAATTCTTTTTCTCATCTTTTTGTTTCTTTTTTCCAAAAAGAATGTCAAAATTCTCTTTAATGGGCATGTTAAAAGGTAATTCAGACATTGATCAATAAACTATTCAATAAATGTATATGAGACCATGCCACAGCCTTCAGCCAATACATGCATTAAAGAAGTGAACATTTAATGAATAAAATCTCCTTGTGTATTGTAGTGGGAGAAGAAAGTTTCAAAAAAATTTTGGAGTAAACTGCTGCCTCTTCCAAAGCAAGCCTTTGGGGCTCCTGTGAAGAGTAGTTGATGCCAGTTTTACTGGATTGTGCTGTCTGATAGTTTAAATTGTAGAACTGGTGACTTAGAAGTGAATTACTGCAATATAATTCTGCTGTGGGCTGCGGAGGGGGAAGTATTCTTTGAGATGGAAGAATTTCATTTTAAATGGACAATTTTGCAGAGCTGCTGCTCTAATTCCCTGTTGTACGATGATGAAATATTAAAAAATATATATGTGTAGTTTAGGCTTTGCAAACTGACTGAGAAGACTCTTTATTGAGGCTTGATTTGTCGGTGTGGTTTTGGCCCACTATGCTTTTTTAAACTCATAATTCAGGTTACCTATTTCTATGAAGGTGAAATCAAATCCTGGAAAAAATTAAAAAGAAAAAAGTGAAGGTATATAGACTTGGTCTGCACGTACATATGGATCAGAGTGAGTGATCTTATGAAACTGATTTATCATTAGAATGGTTTGATATATAGTCTGCTGTATATCAGAACTCTGCCATGTTCCCCATGATTCAAAGCACTGAAGAGCCCTTAAACCCCAACAGTCACCATCCTGGTAGAAATGCCACGGCATGATGGGATGACTGTTGAATCTTAAATTTCTGCATGAGGCCAGGAGTGGAAAGTTTCTAAGATGCCCAGTCAGAACAAAAAAAAGACCAATCTTACAAAGCAGAGTGTGACAGAAATAGTGGAGGTGAAAAGAAAAGAAGGCAGATGCAGGAAATTGAGGCAGAAATAGGAGTATGCTATCATAAAAGTGTTCTGCTTAATTTTAAGATCTTGGGGTGGAAGAAACTGAATGTTCAAGGCACCAACAAGCATCTTTGAGTCATAGTCTGAAACAATTCAACAGGAGAACAGCTCTGGAGCTGTTGCTCAGATTGAAAAAACAGAAGGGAAAGTATGGCAAGGACATGTCCACAGGACTTTTCTGTTGGTATGTCTAGATCTATAAACTGCTGACATTATGATTAATTGGCTTTCTCTGTTGTGTTTTTATAAACTAATATCTCTCAACCGTCACAAGTCATTAAAAAAATGAACTGTACACAAGGAAATTTAGAGGATGGATTTGGGAAAGGAGACGGTGCCAGTTCTCAGGGTGTAAGGCTGCTGAGCCAGAAGGTCCCATTTGTATGAAATTGTGACAAGACTGCCTATTCCTGCTTCGGAAGTGTGCCTGGAAGTTCAATTAATAAAACAGTCCTGCAGCTCATTTAGACCAAGGGAAGCATAAAAGTATACAAGACTCACTGTTGAGAAACTGAAAAACAGTGGCCTTGCTGAATGCTTAGATAGGGGAGCTTTTTCAGGTTTCTCTGTGTAACGCTAATTAAATGTCATTTTTTCTGATTAAAATGTGAAAAATTATATTAGTTTAATAGATGAATACAGTAAATAAGGTTTACTTCAGATTGATGGTTGAGTAAATTTAGTTAACGGTGTTTTTTCTTTTTCAAATTGCTTCATGTGCATCTCAGGATACCCAGGGTAATCCAGGCAAGTAGCAAACAATGCCTGTTTACCAATCCTTCATAGCCGAAGAAGGTCAAAACCTAATTGAGTTCCAGTGTACTGGATTCTGTTTCAGATCATATTTTTCTTCTTCTTGACCTGCTGCATTCCTGAAGTATGTAAGTTTCAACAAAAGTATTTTGAAGATTTTTGGTTTGTTTTGTTTTTAAAAAAACAAATTCCTAAACTAGGATGCTGGACAGAAAAAGTCATTTATACGTTAATGATGAAAGAATTCTTGAATTCATAAATCACAAAAAAGTATCTCTTCTTCTAACACCCCTGGATTTTGAATCAAAGACAGCGGAAGATTTTAAACAATAACTTTTCATGTGAGATTATTGTAAGGTAAGCTTCATGGTTTTTTCAACAGGAAATTTCTCTGACTATGAAAGCGTGCCCTTCACCCTGAATGATAAAGTAAAGTTAAGCTCAAAATTAGAAAATCAATTGAACATCTGAACTGCTCAACAGTAATAATGGGGAGATGATTTTCATGCTTTTAAGGGACTATTCCGCTAAGTCAAAAGAAGGATTTCTGCCAACCACATAACTGTTTGTTGGAATTTCCATACAATTATAGAATTGTATGAATGGGCAAACTGTAGATCTGATCACAAATTCAGTGAGGCTGAAGGGGGGTGGTAGGAATGGACAGGATGGTGGAACTCATGAATTGTCATTTTGAATTATGCTACATATTAAATTTCTCTATAGATTTTTGTCATTAAAAGAAAGATCTTATTTCTCTGGTTTGGCTCTGTCATGACCAAAGATGATAAATTTCCCCCAGGGTAGTGGAAAATATGTAATGTGATCTCCAGCAGAGAAACTGGGTGCTTTTTGAGCTTGTTCGTCCTTGTGAAATTTGAATCATTCAGGTCTGGAATCTCATAAATTAAGGAGTCGAATCTGACTTGCTGGAACTGCTCAGCTCCTAGATCAGTCTAAACCCAATTTAGGTAAGAATATCGCTTCCCTGGTCTTTTCCTCGTAAGTAGAAAAGCTGGCAGTTTCTTTGATTCAGTTTAAAGTGATTTAATCTTTTTATGTCAGCACTTCCAATTTTTCTTTCTGAAGAATAGGGAGATCAAAGCTAGCAGTGCAAAGATCTTGCTTTAAGTGATTGAGAGCTGACTAGGTCAGACAGCTTTCCTGAGACTTACAACAAATAAAGAGAAAATGCTTCCTGAGTTGCATCTTAGATACTTACATTACAAATAAAAGTGATGCTGCAAGTGCAATGAAGGTGGGAAGCAGGTACGAAGCAGAAATCACAGCTATCTTATCCTTGCAGAGAAAGTAAGTCTGCTGCTATCATCAGGCCAAGGTACTGCTGAATGTTTCAACAGATGAAGTATGTTGAATATTTCCATGCTGAATATCTCTATGCTGAATAATGATACGGATCACTGAAAGAAATCAAAGCATTTTTCTTCTTCATTAAAGTTTGGTATCCCAGTGAATATTGTTTCATCAGTGCCCTCATGCCTATTGCTCCATGGAAATATATGTTGGGGTAAATTCTGGCTCCTTTCACAATGGCTTTGTAAAAGCCACAACTAGAGACATCTGAGCTGGAGAAATTTATGCGTGTTGTTAGCTGAAATCGTATCAGTGAGGTTCATATCTGCTGTCCCACAAAATACAAACAGAAAGTAAATATAAGCTATATAAACCAATTATTTAGTCAAGAGGTGAGATTTCCATGTGCAACTAATTTATTCCAGCTATAGGACACCATACATGCATATTTTTGCTACCAGCTAGGCTGGTGCAGGCCATGGACAATTTACAGAAATGCCTTGGGATTCAGCTGACTATGAGGTACCCAGCAGGAAAAGAATAGGATCCTCTGACGCGCTGCGTGTAAGGTAAGATCAAACAGGAGTCCTTCTACTCTCATATTGAGGCAATACATGCTAGTTCATAATTAAGTGTACTGTACACAATTCAAAAGAAGTATCAGAAACATTTTTTCCTTTAACTTGTGCTGAGATAGAGAAATTGCAAACTTTACTCTGTATAGCATTTTAACACCACTCTTAATTCCTGATTTGCATACCTCACTATATGCTATGACCAGACCCTGCAAAAGCCTCAACTATTCCCCCAAACTTAAATCTTTTGGAACTTGATTCAACTTTTACAAAATGTGAAAGTTGATGGTGTTTTTTTTCTTTAATTTTATTCAGAGCTGGTTCTTAAGACTTTAATAATTATTGCCGAGAACTCGAGTGAAGGAGCGTGTGACATTTATTCTGAATCAGATAGAATATGCATGTAATGATCTAGCTGAGGAGTTGTAGTCATCCAGTACTTTGTAGCTAATGATAATTGTCTAATAAAAAGAACCTGAAATTGTTTTCTTAGAAGTCTGTTATTATGAATAATTCTGTTAGCAATGTATGAATCCAAAATACGTTGAAGAGTGTCCTCGGTATATGAAATATATAAGA